AAATATTATATTAATCTTAACACTTGTGAGCAATAAATGACAGAATAAATAATAATAAATTTAGTGATTTCGTACAAAATTACAATTTTAAATCAACATACATAAATAATAGTTTTACAAGTTAGTAAACCGTTCATATTTAGCAGATATAATAAATAATATTTTCGTAAAACATAAAGTAACAAAATAAAAGGATACCTTTAAACATCGAGTTGGTTACCCTCGAAAGGCAGTAGATAAACTTTGCGTACTGCACATTGTCATACGCCATTTGCCGTCTTTATCTTGACAACACGGACTTTGTCATAGTTATCGGCTATGACCTCGACTATTCTACCGATCGGCCATTTCAAAAGTGAAATATTTTCCTCCTTGACTAAAATAATCGTACCGATCTGAACCCTGGGCCCTGATGATGCTGACCATTTGTTCTTTTCTTTGCAATAAATAATCGTTTTGCCATCGCTTTCAAATTTGTCCAGTGAAATGTGCCACTCTGCGCCACCTGGTCAATCTATTGATGTTATGTGCCGTTTCTTCGAGCTCGAACAAATTAGAAAATATATTACCAGATAAAAATTAACCAGTCGTTAACACTGTTAGGTCATCTGGATCCGACGACATTGGACTGATAGGACGCGAATTTAGTATTGCTTCTACGCGATCAACAACGTGTTTAGTTTTTCGAACGTAAGTGATTTACGTTACAAAAATTGGACCAAAATATCGCTAAGAAATTTTACAATACAATTCCAAAAATAAGTGACATTCGTTAGAGTGACAATTTTAAAACATATAATAATCATCATCTTTAGAATAATCTTGAAATAGTTTTTATTATATATTTAATCAGATCATTTTATTTTTGTATTATATAAACTCTAAAATTCATTTCAACTGTATATTTACATAAATTACTTTATATTTAATTAATTAATCATTGAATATAAAATATTTTTAAATTTGTGTTTTCCTATAATATTTATAAGATGGTCTTCAATACCATTTAATACAATAGTTTTAAAATATTATTATAATATCAAAAAATAATAAAAGAGCCCTAATTTATTATTCATATTATTAGAGATTTATTATTTATTATTCATATGTGCACACTTTAATGATTTATGGCAATACATTTCGCCGCCGGACATTTTGCCGCCAGACTCTTGATATATAAATTTATTATTAACGCCTTTTCGAAAAATTATAATTATTTTAACCAAATCCTTCATTGCACAAGTCCTTAAAATCCAGTATAATGATAAAAAAATTAATTATTTATATAATGTCACAAATTATTTAA